TATGACGTAAAGTTGGTGGGGAATACTAGAAAGTTGTGTATAGTGGGCATGCTGTATACCACCGTGGGTGGGAGCTGGTATCTCTTGAGCGGGCACTGGTATACCCTGAGTTGGCCCTGGTATACCCTGAGTTGGCCCTGATATATACAGAGTGGGTTCTGACATATTCTGAGATAAGTAAATCATACTGGGATAAGGATCGGTCATACTCTGATCGTAGTTCTCTTCCTCTCCCACATGGTGTGTACGATGAAAGCCCTGATCTGGGACGGTCCATGTGTGAACGGGAGAACAAAACGCCGTGATATTTTCTGGACTTGGTCTCATTTGAACCATGTGCTGTCGAGCAAGCTGTTGACCTATAAACCCGCTATACATCGACCCACCGCCATGTGGGTCAGTGGCGGTGTGGGTTGTTCTTGGGGGTGGGTTCGTTCTGGTGGGATTATCCCTAAAATGTCCTCCAAATAAATCCTCCATTTTCAATGAATGAAAGTCAAATGAAAAATTATTCGGACAGTTGATGGCGTACTTCAGTAGTGTGTGATGTTGATACAGGTACCGCTACCTGCAAATTAAAAAAAAATAATATAAAAAATGTGTTATGGAATCTACTCTCGTAATATTCAAGGGGATTTTTTTTGTTTTTTTTTTTGTTTTTTTTGGGGAGGGGGGGGGTCCCGACTTGAACATGGTAGCCCAACATGGCGATAGGTTGAGCCACCATGGCAGAAAGATAGTAATTCTAGGAGCACATTCCTCTACATGAACTATGCTGCTATAATGTTCCTTAAATATATATAATAGCATTAGTGAGCACTTGGCTCTAATCCAGTGGTGGGCTAACTCATAAGTCAAAAGAGACAAAAATCAGCAGTAGGACGATTAAAAACGTTTGAATGACACATTTCTTTTCAAGAACCTGTCAAGAACCATGTTTTTTGGAGTCAAAACCGATTTGTGGTGAGCTGACCGAGCCGCACTCAGGTCGCTAAAGAGCCGCATGCGGCTCGCGAGCCGCGATTTGCCGACCACTGCGGCCTAATCGATCTCTCACAACCTTGGCCTGTGGTTGATAGCTATGCACTGGCTTCACCACCGACGCATGTGTTTCTGTAAATTAAGTGTTTAACTAGGCCAAGGTCCTAAAATATCGTTTTGACTGTCCTGACTACATTTGTCCATAAAAATGCTCTACTCTCATAAGATGAACATAGTCGTGACATAAATAAATGGAGTGGACGTAATACAGTAATCATGGAGAGGACATACTACAGTAACTACGGATGTTGCATCCTGAAGTAACTATACACATATTTGAATCTGAGAAATGCTCAACACACGCCATATGTTGTTAGTTTGTTAATTAATTATTTTCTAATCGTTTAAATCCAGTCCTATTTCTTGTTTTTTTTCAATAAATAGCTGAAAATATATGACCCCCTACTGATGAATTATTTAACACCTAAAGAAGGAGCAATGGTTTCAGACAAGGATTGCGGAAATCAAACACAAGTCATATACAAACATCACCATTAGACCCAGGGTGAAGGTATTGCGGGGGGTAGGGCGGTGGTTATAACTTCCATTTATTTAAAGGTTTAAAACTATTAAAGCTCATATCGCAATCTCAATACATAATGAATTAATACAACAAAACCAAAACTGAAATTTGTTGATGTCTTTGATAAATCATTGAAATGAGCTGGTTTAATAAAAAAAATCTATTCAAATTAAGTTTACCTTATTAAAGAAAGGTTCTGATCTCCTAGCGACTTTGAACAAATCCTAGAAATATAAAAAAATATTGCTTTTTTCTACCAGTGTAAATATCAATCTGACCATCACTAGGTGAAATAGTAAATTATAAAAACACATCCATGCTTAACGTAGCTATTAACAACTACTCAGACACTAGTATAGTATAAATACGCATTCCATCTATTACTAAAGCTTATGTAATACTATTACATAAGCTTGAACAACTATATCATAGAATAATGTGAAGACAGACCAAATATAATTTCATAAAAACACTCACAATAAGTCCAATTTATACACAAATACATGATCTCGAGAGACAACGCCCCATTGATTAACAAAGTATTTCCCCTGCTGTTTGAAGAAGAGGCTTGATCTGAATTAGGTCACAACACGCCAAGCTGTAAGAAATAACTTAAACGCATTTGGGGAATTCCATTCACTGTTGTTTCTAAATTTATCGTTTATGGCTATTCCCTTTTTAGGGATCGTAGTTCCGTGTTACGTGAGAAGAAACAGAAGGAACCGCTATTGACATTTGTATTTATAATTGACCTCATGAATATAGACAATATTGTTGTTAAAATGTGATATACTTTTATCTTTAATTTATTCATTTATTGGCTCATCTTGCTTAATGTTACTCACCGGCAATATGCCTTTTGATAAATGTATAAAGGATTGGACTCTTTAGCCTTGGATGACAAATCATATGAGAGAAGGCAAACTTTAAAACTAAAATCAAATCCAGAGATGGAGTCTCATAGGCGGTATGACATTGACACAATGGAAATTGCGACAACTCTGACGATGTGAACGCATATGGAGCACAGTGAAACACACAGGACACACTGCTTGTCATCTACTGTATTCTGGTCAATTTTTAGTCGTCTTGAAACTGGATCAAGTAATCATGGACGAGAAAGTGAGGCTGATGAATTGAGAATATCAATTAAAGGACTGCTTTCAAGCTTAGTAAAAGAATGAAATAGAAAAACGAGGTGTGTGGAAGCTTGAAATAAGATAATAGGACAAAAAACAAGGACCTTTCGGCATAAAGCCTTCCTCAGCCAACAAAAGAAATGAAAATATAACAACTTTTGCTAAGTACTTGACCCATACGCAGACTCATGCTCCAAAATTATACATATAATTTTAAATGAAATGTGCAAAATATATATATGTATATATATATATATATATATATATATATATATATATATATATATATATATATATATATATATATATATATATTAAATATATTATATATATATATATATATATATATATAT